AAAAAGCCATGGAAAAAATTTCAACGACTCTCTCAAGGAAAAAGGAATCCTTTACACATAGCATGTTTATATGGGCATACAGAAATGTCAAGGGAAATTATAAGTAAGTTTCCTCGCATGCTCCATGACAAAGATGAAGAAGGATTGCACGCGGTACACTACGCAGCAGTTGGGGGTAATGTCGAAGTAATGATCCTTCTTATAGATTTCTTAGATGACAAAGTACGCGAATTTATAAGATCACCTAAAACAAACATTAATATTTTACAAATGGCATGCGTTTATCAAAAGACAAATATGGTGAAATTTATCATCAAAAAATTTCCAATGCTACTTTCTGAACTAGATGCTCCTGACAAATGGAATATAAGCCACATAGCCGCACGATCTGGAAATGCTGAAGTTTTGGAAATACTTTCAGCGCAAGATTTGTCGCTCGTTAAAGAAGTAGATTTATTAGAAAGAAATGTACTTCACATAGGATGCCTCTACAGCAAGGTCAAAGTTTGCAAATATCTTCTCTCTAGATTTCCAGAAATGGTAGATCATAGGGATATCGATGGATGCCGGCCAATAGTTCTTGCTGCTTGGGCTGGCAATCTTGACGTCTTGAAGATTCTTCTTAAAAATGATACAAAGGAAAATATCATCACGGACAAGTTCAATATTTTGGATATTGCAGAGAAATCAAGTGAATGCAGCAATTCAATTATCGATTTTATAAAAGAAAACTACCCTGAGCTTCAATTGGCGAATAACCAATACCGAGACATTCCTATAAATGGAGCTACGAACGCAGAATTCGTCGAAATGGAATATATACATGTAAACGTATAGTAATGAAGAAAAAAATAAACTCGTCTTCAATAAAACGTGAAGAAACTGAAAGAAAGTTCAGCAAACCTTTGTTTGATTAAAAACTAAAAATGTTCCTCTTTTTCTCTGTAAATTTGAATTTATCTTTTACTTGATGTCCGTGGCGAATTCCAGAAGTTTGTCTGGTAAACGAGAAGCCATTAAGTCGCTTATTTAACTGCCTTGGTATGCATTTACATGTACTTTATAGTTCTTCAGCTGGTTTTCTAATTTTTTTCTGTTGATATTTTATTGGTTTTATTGAAAATGTTCTGGTGTTTTGACTGTAATTACTATTCTTAATTTAAAAAGAATTATACAGATTTTAGACTTTAAGTAATTATTTGTTCTCTGCGGTGCGAAGGGGGTTATGATGTTTAATCCCGGGATAATAGTGTGTTTTAGGATATTATATGTAGGGGAGTTTTTGATTGAGGATGTGTGCGAGAGAGAGAGGTTGTGTGAGGGTGTGCCTTTGTGTGTGTATCGGGACAGGGGAAAGCTAGATCAAAGTGAAGATGCAGGCCTTAGTAACACTAGACAATGTATACAGAGACATTGGTGGCAGTGCATGTTAGAAGAGATTGGAGTAAACTCAGGTCTTGTACTATGCAAAGAAGAAGGTATGGTTTTAGCTATATTGCGCCCTAAAAATGTAATGTCATCGAAAAGTTTTGAAACTGGCTTAAATATTAGTTAAATAAATGACTTTGATAAATCAGGAAAGACTATGGCATGAAGGTTTACCATTCTGAAATTATGACGTCATTAATGTGGAGCATTTCTCTATTTTTAACAGAAAAAGCCTCAAAATGGCACATTTCAAGGGTGATTTTCCTTTTGAAAACAGTGTCCACAGCCGTCGCCCATGTTAATTTTTTGATATTTTGTGCAAAATTCAAAAACAAATCACATATCTCAAGATCTTTGTGGGCGATGCCTGTGAACAATGTTATCTGAAAGAAAATTCCATTGAAAATTGGTGTCTTCTGCAACTTTTTAAGAAATTACGGGAAAATGCACAGGTTTATGACGTCATAATTAGCATTTAAAAACACATGTGAGAAAAATGACTTGTATGATTTTTCTGCATTGAATTTCAATTATTTAAAAAACATGAGTTTTCAACTTTTACACCAGTTTCATTTTTTAGAAAAATCACAGGGCAACATTAGTATGGAAACCATACCTTCTTCTTTAAATCACACATCAATTTTTATTTTTATAAATTGCATTTATTTGATTTTATGATTTTATTTAATGAAAACTAACAAATTCAATAGTACCTGGAAAAAAATGTTTGTAGGTAAAAATTGATACGAACTGTAGTAATTTACACCAATGTTTTCTTGTTTGTACGGAAGCCCAATAGTGCAAACCAAAAATAAATAAAGAAAAACGAAATTAATATATAAAGAGAAACGAAATTAATATATAAAGAAAAACGAAATTATTATATAAACGGAAACGAAATTATTAAAAAAAGATAAACGAAATAAATATATAAAGAAAAACGAAATTATTAAATAAAGAAAAACGAAATTATTAAATAAATCAGTTCGTATTTCTTTATTTAATAATTTCGTTTTTCTTTGTTTAATAATTTCATTTATCTTTATATATTAATTTCGTTTTTCTTTATATATTAATTTCGTTTCTCTCTATTTAGTAATTTCGTTTTTCTTTATTTAATAATTTCGTTTTCTACTTTTAATAATTTCGTTTTTCTTTATATATAAATTCCGTTTCTCTTTATATATTAATTTCGTTTTTCAAGTAGAAAACTGAAACTAAAATACGGAATTTAAATATGTGCACGGTAAGGGCCTGCAGGTGTCGTAACAGTAAATCATGGCTGACGCAAAATAATCCTGGAATCTTCCCTTCCGATTCTGGCATTTTTATACGAGACTGGAGCTGAATTTTTTTATGAGATGAAAAACAATATGTAAACTTCCTGTATTGACAAGATTTATTAAAATTTAGGGCGTGCTGATTTTTCTACATACTGTCAAGTGTGGGGAGTGATTAGGCCCTGGACTGAATTTTCAAACACCTGCTCGACTTCGACCGAAACAAACTTGTGTGCCTTGCAGGATGGCTATGTATTTTTTGGTACTAAAATCTTTATAAAGAATGGTTTTACAAGATCTGAAAAGGAAACTTCTGAGAAGTTTGTTTTGAATTAATTACACCTACTCCAACTTGCGCATTTTTGGTAAAAATATATAGCAGGATGTAATATTGTTGTGCAACCTGAACCCATGAATCATTCCATAAAGCGCATATGCTATAAAGCATCACCTCGTAACTCTTTACGCCTTATATCGAAATTACAAATGTTTAGTGGAAATGAAAAATTAAAGATCATATAAATGTCAAATTAACAAACGTAGAAAAAATATGTACACTCGGCCGAAAATTCCCATTTCCGTGAACAATGGGAGATAGTAGTGAGTTGCGTTCCCCTGCCTCCCGCTAGGCGGCGATACTATTCCCGGTCCATAGCATCTTGTTTACATTGGATGCGAGATTACTATCGTTCGTTGTTGTATTTTGTTACGTGTGTATTTAAGATCAAAACAGTTGAAAATTATCATGAATAACTCAAAATACGGTTCCTTGAGTATAATTGAGCTTAAAAACGAACTAAGAAAACGAAATGCAAGAATATCGGGTCGGAAAGCAGAACTGGTCGACAGGTAATTCGATACTGAAAACCGCATGCTATATGTCCAACTCTAACATGTGTAATTTCTGTAATTGGTAAATCAAGTAATGCCGCAAATATTTGCAAAATTAAACGATTAAAAACATGATAAATACCGAGTATTTATATTTTTAACAGACTTGACGCATACGATAGAAATGCCGACTTTGGAAGAGTTGAGAAGCTTGACCCAGATTTTTACATGATATTACCTGATTACGATACATACTCAGACGTCAATTCCGATTCCCCATTCCGTGGTTTGCCTATGGAAACGGTTCAAGCCTATTTTGAACTATTTGAAAAGAAGTTTGATAATCATTTTATTCAACTGTACAATGATAATTTCTTAATATGTTACCGTATCTCCATTGATATTAACCCCTTCAAATACATCAAAGGCAAGTGTCGTGCCGAAATGAGAAAAGGTGTGTCGTATACAGTTGATCTCAAAATAACTGAGGAGGGGTCAATATCGGAAGCTCAGTGTGAATGTGCTGCAGGCATGGGGCCTAATGCACACTGTAAACATGTTGGAGCTGTCATGTATGGGGCGGTAATGTTTGCAAAACAGAAGTTCATCAAGACAGAAGAAACTTGCACACAGCGTTACAGACCTTTCATAAATGTAAAAGATTTAAAGGTAGCCCAATGAAATCAACAGATCTACATCTACCTGGTGCTGATGAATTTACAACTGTCAACTTTGACCCAAGACCAGAAAAATTTCAAAATAATCCAGCATATCCTGATCACTTCCAAAATGTATGGCTCAATTTCCCTGGAATTTCTAAAGTCCCAATATTCCAAACATTTACCCCTGCCAATATGATGGCAGTGGCACATGACCATGACTACCTAAAACTGACACCTGAAGACCATTTCCTTCAAACATCATTCATTTCTCATATATCCAATTCTCAAATTGAGAACATCAAACATCAAACAATGGGGCAGGGCAATAATAAAACTTGGAAAGCAGAGAGAACGAAGCGTTTAACTTCATCAATGTTTGGGCGGATATGCAAATGCACAGAGAGAACTGACAAAAGAAAACTTGCTCAATCTCTCACAGTTACCAAAAATATAAAATCAAATGCCATTGAACACGGCCACAAGCATGAATCAGTTGCCATAAAGAAGTTTAAAAATGATCACCATAAAGATGTGCAGGCAAGTGGCCTAATAATTTGTAAAGATTATCCATTTCTAGCTGCATCACCAGATGGAATCATTAATGAAGAGGAACTTGTAGAGGTGAAATGTCCATATGTTTCTAGAAACAAGAAAATTTCACCGACTACAGTGCCATATTTGAAAACAAACCAGGAAGGGAAATACTTTCTTGATAATAATCATGATTATTTTTATCAAATACAAGGACAACTTCTTTGTACTGGTGCAAAATCTTGTATTCTGATTGTTTGTTTGGCAAATAATTTAACTGTAAATGACATTGTGTATATTCAAATCAAACGGGATGATACGTTCATACATGAAATGCTAGACAAATTAGAAAAGTTTTACACCAATTTCTTCAAGGATGCAGTACTTGAAAAATATTACTACAAGTCCTACAATGACAATGAGTGAAAATCTGACATGACATTGAATTTCAGTAAAAAAAAAAGGTACATGTAGAAAAAATTCTTACACATTCCATACAATCAATTGATCTTGTGAAATAGTCAAATCTCAAATGTACTTGATTATGACTTGGTAATGTTTACATGATTAAAAGTTTAAGAGATATGACTGTTCAAAATTTTGAAAATATCTCTGTCCTTAATATACAGTAATATGAAGTAATGACGAAAGGGGTTCACAATAGTCAAGTGGTATTTTAATTGAACTTAACTGCATTTAAAATGCACTTAATTTACATAAAACAATCAAGCATCTGCTGGAATAATTCCAGTGCGAAAATTGCACAACATGTAACAAACGAATACAATATCTGATGATAAACATGCCTCAGTACTTTTAAGAGGATGTGTTAAAATTTGATACGTTTTTCCTAAACCAATAATCCTTTCAATATGTACCCTTTTGCTCGAAACTTTTCTGTCACGCAAAACTGTAGTACCTGACATTCTATTTCTGTTTTTAAAAAAAGTAGGAATATTTATTGTAATATCTTTTGTAGCAAATATATCTTGTACATTAAAACCTTTGTCAGCCATTAAACTATCACCTTGATCACACAGATTTTTCAAACTACTTCTTTCTACAATTTGTCTGTCACTGGTTGAACCACTATATGCTGGACTAATAAAACTTATGAGACCCCCTGGTGTACAACCTATCAAAGCTTTCATTGTGTTTCTGTTTTTATAGGTTGAAAATGTGGCTTGTTGTGCTCTTGGTGAACTTGGTTTTTTAATAGGAAACTCAGTTGCATCTAAAATTGCTCTAGTCTTAGGAAATTTAGCTTTAAAATCTGAAGGTGAAAAATATCTGACAAGGGATTGAGGCGGCCATATGGACACCTCTTGCCATTGCTTTGACATGAATATAATCCAAGTATAAACAATATTTTTTACAGTGCTCTCAGATACATTGAAAAATCTAGAAAGTTCAAAGTTTGTAGTGTACCTTCTTAATTTCATTAAAGTCATAAAAAATTGATCTGGAATCGACACTCCTTGCACTCGAAAAAAAATATAATTGAGACAATATGCAGCAGGTCCAAGTGAATGAAGTACATACATAAATTTACTATATGTTTCTAGACCTGTATAAAAGTGAATGGCAGCATCATCTTTTTCAAAATGATCTACTGAAAATAATGGTTGTAATTGTGTTTGTGTCTGCATTTCTCTAAATTCTTGACTATATGATGTAATGTTAGTATCATTGCTTGTTGACTCATCAGCTGACACAATCTCTTCAACAAAATCTACATTTGATTTATTAATGCTGTCCTCAAGGTCATCATGGCAAGCTTCCTCAAATTTTCTCTTTTTCTGCACCCGGTCTTCTACTCGAGAAGATCTTGAAGTTGATGCCGCCGATGACTTTGTCCAGCAGAAAATACTAGGGACTGAGGAGCTCTTTAGTCTTCCATGTAATGGTTTCTGTCCTGTTGATAAACAATGTAGTGTATATCTATTCATACTGAAAACGCTGTTTTTATTCGTTTTCACATATGTGTGCTTCAATGAAAATTTTTAATGCAACTTAAAGAACATGAAAATAAAAAAAGTGGGTTGTATAAAAATACAAATCGGCTATACACACAGCTGACACAGTTTGCAAGAAATGTTATCTTTTCATTTGCTACAACATTCGACAGTGATCAAAACAATGTTGATTCACAATACCTTGTATTGTTTCTGTCACGTAATCGTCAGGTTTAAAATGTCGTTTGCAAACAACGGCAGACTTGGAAGGCTCCCATAACTTTCTCGTATGTTCGTCCAAGCGTTTAATTGCTATAATCCACTTGTCTCTCCTTGATTTTTCGGTCGGGAACTGATGCCCGCCTCTTTCATGACATCCAGGTACACAGCAGCAACTACTGGGCATTGTTGTGTGTTCTAATTCAACTAATTACTTACTTATGTACTCTTATCGTTATTGTTTCACGTGTGTTTACTACGAAGCGGAAGTATCACAAGGACCGGGACATGTAGCGCCACTATGTTAGGAACGATAACTCACTACTTTAAACCATTCATAAACTATTCAATTTTGTTTATATGCTGTGTCATATCCCCACATCATTGTTGGAGTCTGTAAGCCTTGACTTAGCGAGGGTGGCTGTTTCTGTTTGTACAGAATTAATGACATTCCAATAAAGCTCATGAATCGCGAGAAGGTCATGATCAAGACCTTGAGTATCGTATTACTGAATTCCCTCGAACTTAACCTAGCGTCCTATCTGTGTACTATAAATCATAGGTTGTTGAAACTATAAAGAGAAAATTGATTTGATTATTTTGTGGGATTTGTTTTGTGCAAGTGTGGGCATTGTTTGGTCACAAATATAACTGATTTATAAATACAGATTGAGAGTATGCCATTTAGAATATGTGATATAGTAGTCATGTACTACCACTGACACGAATAATACAGATTGAGAGTTTGACATTCATTAAGACCAAGAAATCAGAAGTGTTTTGCTTTATTTCTGATATAGTAAGCAATCATTAAAATCTACTTATTGTAACCACTTTGACTTGTTTTAAGTTTTGCACTTGTGATCTTTAAACATTTTTTTACAATGTCAAACAAACTCACAAAGTCCGATATTACGTATTATTATACGTTTTTTTTCTAATGCATGTACTGTAAAGCCATGGGGATTACATAAATGTTAAAAATTCAACAGTACATGTTGTAAATAACGTAATCTTAACCTTCATGTTTATCTTAAATATTTGTGAAATTTATTAGGATAATCTCTTTAATGTTTCATGTCCAAAGTGATTATTAATGTGTCCAGATTCGTTATTTGCTGATCATTAGACCTTTCGAGCAGAGGATTTGAGAAAGCTAATGTTAACCAATTTTTAACGTCAACATCTCACCGAATTAATCACTGGCCAAATTATGAGACTGGCTTAAGTTCACATTCATCGTGTTATTGTAAGATAAAAACACAAATCTAAGCATATTACTATTAGATACCAAAGGTTAAATTCTCCCCATTCAATTATTGTAATGGTTATGCATTCGATTTGGGAGTCGGTGAGTGCAAAGGCAAACATCACACTTGTAAATTGTCGAAACAAAATCAAGGCTAACAGACGCGTGCGCTTATGATTTATGGGTTCAGGCCCTTACCTTGCATATCTCGAAATTCCTTATTTTAGTTTCAGTTTTCTACTTGAAAAACGAAATTAATATATAAAGAAAAACGAAATTATTAAAAGTAGAAAACGAAATTATTAAATAAAGAAAAACGAAATCATTAAATAAAGAAAAACAAAATGATCTATTTAATAATTTCGTTTTTCTTTATATATTAATTCCGTGTTTCTTTATATATTAATTTCGTTTTTCTTTATATATTAATTTCGTTTTTCTTTATTTAATAATTTCGTTTCTCTTTATTTAATAATTACGTTTTTCTGTATATATTAATTTCGTTTCTCTTTATATATTAATTTCGTTTTTCTTTATTTAATAATTTCGTTTTCCTTTATTTAATGATTTCGTTTTTCTTTATATATTAATTTCGTTTTTCTTTCTTTAATAATTTCGTTTCTCTTATTTAATATTTTCGTTTTTTCTTTATTTATTTTTGGTTTGCACTATTGGGCTTCCGTATGTTTGACTTGAAAAAAAATTATTTTATAACAAATATCAACAAGTTCTTTTTTTTCATTTTTAAACATGCAGCTTTTTTAACAATGCCACCATAGTTTAAATTTTAATTCAAATTTTGATGAAATTTTTTTTTAAATAAAACATTTTTTTTTTACTAACAGAGAAGAAGCAATCGATTAACAAAGCGTGTGTTACTCTAGAAGTGATAGATTTATTGAAAATTAAGACCGTCGCTTAAGGGGTACAGACCCTTTGCTATGACAGATAACTTTCAAAGTAAAAATATAAATACTACTAATAGTTTTCTTAACAAGATTCCTAATTGAGACCTCTAAATAGTCAATTTGATGAAATCTTACATAATTATGATGGAAACATTACCTTCTCTTTCTTTTACTAATTTCTTTGTTAATGTTTTATTATATTTAACAATAAAACATTTAAATCCAACATCAAAACCCTTGTAAATTGAATAAGTTGTATCTTTTTAAGGACCAATTTTAAAATGGTTTAATGTTTCAAGTATTTAATACAGCATTTTTATTAATATGACATTTTTTTCAAATAAAGAAATATTTAGAAGAAAGATAACTCCTTCTCACAAATTTGTTTTTTTCTTACAACCACATACAACATTGTCATTTTCTGAATTAGGAAGCATCGCTTCATGATGTTTTCAAACATGATTTTATTAGGTATGATAGTTACTATTTTTTTCAAATGCATTTCATACATTAAATTCAATGTTGTGATAATTAATCATTAATCTTTCTATTCTCTGTTCTTCATATCATGATCTGACATAAAATCATTTCAGAAAAAATAAGCAGCGCTTCATACTTCAAATTATTTTCCATGTGGCTCTAATGTTATTGTTGTTTATGAAAATCAGTATTACAAATTTGAAATTTTCTAAAATGAAATTTATAGCAAAGACTCCTTAAGTTGAAAACATATTTTGCCTTCTGAATTCTCTTTATTACTTAAAGTACAGCAATTTTCATGAAATCATACTTTGATGCTGATAACATGTTTTCAGGCAAACGATCTTAAATTCTATATGTCAAAACTTATCACTTACTGCTCAATTTGTGTATTAACATACATGTATATCAGTGTAAAATCCGAAAGGTAATCTTACTTCGTTACTAATATTTATTCGTTATATTTTATTGTATGTTTAAATAGATATAATGAATAAAACATCTTTAAATTTCTATTCATTTTACCGTAAGTCACAATGTACCTTATAAGCTGGGTAATTATATTTTTGGAAAAAAAAGTCCTATTAAAGTCGAAAAGATCGGTATTGAACGCTGTATTCTGTACATTAGAACCACGCTTCTGTGACGGATGTGAATTTTGAAAAAAAGATCTTTACAATGTCTTATTTGAGTAAAATTGCATTTTATTTATTTTTAGCGCTTATCTGTTTAATAGTTAATGTTGCAGTAATGATATCCGTTATATCTAATTGAACTTTTGTCTCCTTAACAAAACCCGTTGCTTTAGTTACACATATCAGTGTTTTATTACCTTGATAAAAATATTCCATGAAACAACAATGTTATTTGAGATTGTGTAAGAGATGATATATTCAAACACAAAAAGCGTTTCAATGTCAACGGGTGAAATAAAAGATGTTTGTAATTGAACCATTTGAAACATCTAATTTAAATTACAATGTATCTTTGCTTTAGGTTTAGAAAATTAATACATCTCATAAATTTTTCTGATCGCGTACAAGCTTATTTCTAACATCCCTGCAATATCAATCTTGCGAAATGTTAAAGCTTCCATATTCCCTGGAGTTTCAACTAACTCATTGACTGATATAGTTCAATGTTATCTAATTGAATTTTAATCTTACATAAAGGAAATATATATGTATAAAGTAATATTTATATTTCATGTTTCATTTGTGCTAAATACTGTATGCCACATCCTTCAAAGATGACTGAGGTAAATTATATTTAGGGAAAAAAAGTCAGATTATTTGTTGCTTTCCTTATTCATTATATACTAGTAGCCACTTTTCTTAAAATTATTGTTTTAAGCGAATCAAACTGAAAAAAATCTATATTTACTCTATAAAGAATTAATGTAATATAATACATGCAGGGTAAGTACTCGTATTTCGTGTCTTTACAGAGGTTTCATTACTGCTTTCTGGATAACTACTTTTTACCGATGATAAGTATCATCAGTTTGCACATAAAAGGTTGGTATAGAAGTGTTTGTAAATTACACAAAAACAAGTTATGTCATTGAATCAGCTGACCGGTATAAACAGAATATTGTTTTTCTTGAAATAGTTGAAATTTGAAGAAAATAGTATTATTAAAGCTCAAAGGTCCTTTGAAAAAATAGAAATAAATAAAAGAGAGAAATTGCATCAAAGGTAGGATCAGGTGCCATGGCAAAAAAGAAAATCTGAATATATAGCTGTGTCGGACTGGTTTTATTTCAAGGTAATAGGATATGTCAAATCAATAAATTATATACTTTTGTATATATTTCTACCTGTCGTGTATAAAATTTCAAATTAGAAATCGACCTGACATTTTGATTGATTGATTATTGTTTTTTTAACGCCGAGTCAGTAAGATTTTATCCATATTTCGGCGGTTCTTCATAATATATATATAAATATGTATATGCTATATCCTTCACTCTTTGGAGATTTTTCAATTTCAAAAATAGGTACAGATGGACGATGTGTCAAAAATGGAACAGATCCGTACTGTTTCAACTATCGAATATATGCATGTGAGGAGTAAGTACGTCCTTTATACCTTTCTCTATTTTAAACAGATACAGTTATTTACTTAAGATATTTAAGATTGTTTTGGGACTGGCAGTTGTCGTCGCTGTAATTGTTGGAATTTGCATCTACAGAAGACGCATGCAGCGAAAAGGAGAACGTTCCTTTCTAGTTCGGAAGTCATAATGTACTCGTATAAATCACGAGGAAATTAAATTGTTATAAAGATTTCTTTTGATTGTCTATACCTCTTACTTTAGGGATTGTGAAATTTTCAGATAGAGGAGGAAGTATAACGAGGCTCACAAAAATGTGAATCTAATATAAAATTAATACTACTAATATATAATGTATTTCATTTGTATCATATTAATACTATTAACAAACAACAAATATAAGCATTAAAAAGGCGGATTTTTGGGGTTAATTTACTCTTAGCGTTTCATTTTCTAACATTATGGGCTTTGGCCCCTTCGGCTCCATTACTTTACAAGGAATGGAGTCCTACTTAAACATTAATCCTTACTTAGTATTCAGTCTACTTTTATATAAGAAATCCAATAGAAATTAATAATCCAAGACATTATTTTCTCTATATAACATTGAAAATCTTGTTACCGCACGTTAGAATATTTTCC